AGACGGCATCTTTCGCGGCTAATGTGAAGCTAAATACGTATCGATGGTGCCTCGTGACTTTTAACCCTTTACAATCTCAGGCTTGTAAATCTCCATGCATTTTTAAAATGTCTTGGTGAAAAAATAAGAGATATATAAGCCGTTCTTTATGACAATTTGCGATGTCGGCGGTTTTAGACCAATCTTTTATTTTACATTTTCCCTCAGTCAGTCAAGTACCATAGGCGATACACACTTGGGCGATCAATGTCTCTTTCGATTCATGAATGTTAAGGCAGAAGATATTCCCGCAGTAGGTGGCCGTCTCTTTCTGTGATAGACTGCCAAACAAGAACCCAGTCTGTCCTGCTGTCAAAAATAAAGCTGGGAGGGGAAGAATAGGATACAGGAGGATTCTGAGAATACAATTGAGTGAGCATGTTAGTAACAACGAAGATTTAGAGAAAATGGAAACAAAATAGACAAATTAATAGGTAAGACGGAACACTTAGAAAATCTGACAGTCACAGGAGATAAGACACAGAGAGAATAACCTACCTGATGGGCTTGTGTGACAGAACAGAGATTGTGAGTGAGCGCAAAAAGATGGAGAAGAGCTACAAAGGATAGGAAATTGTGGAGAACCATCATCGCTTACGTCCTGAAAGTCTATTGCATATAATTGAGCTTGAGTAAATGGTTTGCAGAACTAGGATTAGGCGTGATAGCGAAAAGACACTTTTTATTAAGAGCTAAAAAGAAGTGGAAGTTGTGGAGGACCATTGTCGCCCACGCCCTGAAGGAACACAACACATAGAAGTACAAGCTTGTCTAAATGTTTTCTGAATAGAGATTAGAAGTGATAGCAAAACACAGATTTTATTCAGAACAAAAATGATAGGAAGTTGTGGATGGCCATGATCACCCACGTCCTGAAGGGACACGAAACGTAGAAGAATGTGCTTGTGTAACTGTTTGCAGAACAGGGATTAGGAGTGATAGCAATGAGACTAATTTTACTTAGGTGCTATAGGGGAAACACAATTTGACGATCAATCTCTTTCGATTTATAAATGCTAAGGCAGAAGATATTCCCGCAGTAGGTGGGAGTCACTTTTTGCGACAGACTGATTGCCAAAGAAGGCTATAGAACCCAGTCTGTCCTGCAGTTAAAACTATAGCTAGAAGTGGGGAAGAGAAGGATACATAGCTTTCCCAAGGGCACTTGCGCCTAAGTGAAAGTAACGAACATGACTTGAATTCGAACTCCGATTTTCTCAGTCCGAACCTATAACCATGGCTCTACCAATCGATAGAGATTCGAATATATCTCAAAGTGCTGTCACTACGTCTGAAAGTAAGAGTTCTAATTAAATTTAACTTAAATTAGTGAGTGTTTTTTGGTGTATATTGGTTCAAAACTATCATGGGTGAGTTGTTTTTGTAAAACATAAAGCTCAGGTTATATTATATTAGTCGGGATCATCGAGTCAATGTAAACGATCCTTAGCGGCAGAGTATATCCTTCGTTATGGTTACATAGAGCTTTTCCTTCTCCTAGACTGGATTCCACCCAAGGCTCTCCTACTATTTTCTCATGGCTGGGGAGAGAAGAGTTGGATTCATAATTTTACCAAGTGAATGTAATGAACTCGACCAGAATTCGAATTTTATTCCGCAATGGATTGCTCAATGAACTCGACTGGAATTCGAACTCGGCTCTCCGATTCCTCAATTCAAGCCACAATTCATTACTCCACCGTGCCTCTTCAGACCAGAAGAGTTGGATTCATGCCTTTCCCAAGGATATTAGCACGTAAGTGAATGTAAATGAACTCGACTGGAATTCGAACTCGGCTCTTCGATTCCTCAATCCGAGCCGCAATCCATTACTTCACCGTGCCTCTTCAGACCAGAAGAGTTGGATTCATGCCTTTCCCAAGGGTATTAGCACGTAAGTGAATGTAAATGAACTCGACTGGAATTCGAACTCGGCTCTTCGATTCCTCAATCTGAGCCACAATCCATTACTCCACCGTGCCTCTTCAGGCCAGAAGAGTTGGATTCATGCCTTTCCCAAGGGTATTAGCACGTAAGTGAATGTAATGAACTCGACTGGAATTCGAACTCGGCTCTCCGATTCCTCAATCCGAGCCACAATCCATTATAGTTAAGGAGTGTATTATTCAGGAGCCAAAGTATTAATTCGCTTGAAGACATTTTTAATCCTTCGTTTTTTTTTATTATTATTAAATTCCTGGAAATACCTGACACTTTTGACATTTCTAAACATATTAGTTCCCAGGCATGATATCCATAGGAGGGTCGAGATATGGGGGGGGGTTAAGAATATATGTCGAGTTCTTAAGATAATATTTTCTTTTTGTTTTTTAGCATTATGTAGAACTTATTTTACTGTTGAAATTACTAGATTTAAACCGTATATTCTATTCTAAGACTTTCTTATTTACACTATTTATATTCCAACTATTGTCCTCGTCTTTGTTGTTTGTATGACAGCGCTTCGATCATTGTATCCACCGAACTTCCTCGGTTACATATCGATCTGGGTAAACAACAGGAAATTCTGAACTGAACACTTTATTAAATCTACGGCGGAAGAATGTTCTCATTCCACTTCCCACGTCTAGTACATACTGTTCAGTTACTTATTCGGGGATTGAACTCACAACAATTATATCCCCATATTCACGAACCGACACTTTAATCCACTTGGCCATTGTTCCATTTTTTTATGGAAACAAGCCAACAATAACTGAACAGCACTAAAAATAAGAACTAGACTAGATGCCCTTAAAATGGGACGAGAAGAGTGTACCCTCCTAGATTAAATAAAGGGTTCAGCTCATAATTACTTGGAGGTAAGCCAGATCGATATACACCTGAGGATGGCACTGCTGAGTTAATTGCCTTTGGCAAAATGGCATTTTGGAAAAGGTAGATTTGACACTGCTAAGTCAATTTGTATGGGAATTGTTATAAGAGTATTAATGACCAATCACTGAATTAGCCTCATGCATATATGTATATATGGAGAGGCACGGTGGAGTAATGGATAACGGCTAGGATTGAGGAATCGGGGAGCCGAGATCGAATTCCAGTCGAATCCATTACATTCACTTACGTGCTAATACTCTTGGAAAAGGTATGGATCCGCTTCTTCTCCCACCCACCCCCAGCTACGGGTTAATAGCAGGACAGACCAGGTTCTATAGCCTTGGATGACAACTGGTCTACCGCAAAAAGAAAAGGCAACCTACTACGGGAAAAATCTGCCTAGTCAGGCATGTATCGAAAGATACATGATCGCCTAACTGACGCATGGCACCTAACTGAGTGACTGATATAAACTGGGAGTTTCACAATTATTGAAACAATGATCGGGCAGAAATCAAGGACAGAATGTTAGAGTACTGGAATTTACATTTATTGAAAGGTAAAATGATAATATTTTTAGGATCTGCAACCATTTAATCTCAAATATTAACCAAAAATGCCAAGAGGGGCCTTAGAATGTATTCTCCAGATGTCTGCCGTTCACTTGAAGACACTGCTGAAGGCTAAATTGATAACGTGTGCAAATTCCTCCTATATGATCGTTGGATTCTTGTCAATGATCTTCAATGCAGTAGTAGTGCAAGGGTTGCCCTGGTAGATGTTGTCCCTGAGGAACTTCCAAAGGAAGAATTGTGGGGGAGTTCAGGTCAGGCGTGTGACGTCTCCTATTCTACTTCAGCTTTGCCGCTGATAAGACAGTCTCCAAACAGATAGTCTTAAAAATCCCAAAAGAATCTGCTATACTATCGATCCTGTCTTGGCATCTCGGCTTCAATCACTTTCCACTCGTAATAACATAGCTTCCCTGTTCGTTTTCTACGAATATTTTTTTACGAAAATTGTTGGGATTAGCTTCAATATTTATAATCTCGACTTCCTAAGTTTAAGCGTAATAGTAGACAGGAGGCCATGTCTCATCAACGTTCTATTAAAATTGCTAGATTAGATGTAACCGGAGGTTCTATTTGGATAGTTTCTTCTCTCTCACATCTCACTTGTGGAACTCTTTTCCGCCTTCTTGCTTCCTCGTCAACTACGATCTTCAAAAATGCACCTTGAATCGTCATCTTTTCTCTACGTGAATCCATTTTTGGGGAATTACATTTATTGAAAGATAAAAGGATAACAGTTTAGGATTTGCAACCATTTTGTCTCAGACATGAACCAAAAATGGCAAGAGCATCCCTAGTGTACATGCTCTAGATGACCGGCGTTCAATTAAAGGTACTGCTGAATGCAAAGTTGTTGATAACATCTCCTGGGGGATTGCTTGAATTTTTTCAATGATGGCTGACTTCAATGCTGCATTGGCGCAAGGGTTGCCGTGGTATATATTGTCCTTGAAAAAACCCCAGAGGAAGAAATTTGGGAGTCAGGTCAGGGGTATGAGATTCCAATTCAGCTTTGCGGCTGATGAGACGCTGTCTAAACTTTTCATGGGGCCATTTCATGGTAATATTAGCAATACGAGGAGGGGTAACATCTTGCTGGAACCACTGCTCGTCTTCATCAAAAAAATTTTAATATATTAAGATTATCTATACTATTATTGTTTGTACAGAATATTCCACAAATCAAGGCCCACAAATGTTAGAGTAATGGAAATTATATTTATGGAAAGGTAAAAGGATAAGATTTTCTGATCCGCAACATTTTAGTCTCAGACATGAGCCAAAAATATCAAGATGATTCCTAGATTACATGCTAAAGATGTCCGCCGTTCAGGTTAAGACATTGTTGAATGCAAAGTTGTTGATAACGTGTGTACATTTCTCCTGGGTGATGGCTCGAATCTTCTCAGCGATGGCCGCCTTCAATGCAGCCATGGCTCGAGGGTTGCCCTAGTAGATGTTGTCCTTGAAGCACCACCAGAGGAAGAAATTTGGGGGTGTTCAGGTCAGGTGAGTGAGGTGCCCGTTTCACTCCAGCTTTGCCATGGTAACATAAGTAGATAGATAGATAGATAGATAGATAGATAGATAGATAGATAGATAGATAGATTATGAGAAATAGATCTGAAGATAGATAGATAGATAGATAGATAGATAGATAGATAGATAGATAGATCTAAAGAGTTGTGAGAAATAGATCTAAAGAGATTGAGATAGATGAAAGTTATAAGGATAACATTTTATGATCTGCAACCATTTAGTCTCAAATATGAACCAAAAATAGTAAGAGGAGCCCTAGAGTACATGCTCCACAGGACCGCCGTTCAGTTGAATGAACCGCTGAATGTGGCGGGCAAAGTTGTTGATAACACGTGCACGTTCCTTCAGATGAGGAACCCATTGTCCTACGATCTTCACATTGAGATAGATAGATAGATAGATAGATAGATAGATAGATAAAGAGATAGATAGATAAAGAACAAACTTTGATAGATAGATAGATAGATAGATAGATAGATAGATAGATAGATAGATCTAAGGAGATTATGAGAAATAGATCTAAAGAGGTTGAGATAGATGAAAGATAAAAAGATCAAATTTAAGGTTCTGCAACCATTTAGTCTCATACATGAACCGAAAATGGCAAGAGGAGCCGTAGAGTACATGCTTCACAGGAGCGCCGTTTAGTTGAATGTACTGCTGAATGTGGCGGGCAAAGTTGTTGATAACACATGCACGTTCCTCCTGTTGAGAAACCCGTTGCCCTACGATCTTCACAAGTGCCATGAGCTTCCAATTTCTTTACCAAATTGAAAATCTGGTTTCAGCTTGAAAACGTATTGAAATTGAACTTCCTGTATCTTTCTTGGGCAATCTTGAAAGATATTTCACACAAAATATCTTCTGCTCCATCGCCCAAGGCATGATTTCGCTATATTTGCTTGAATAGATCAAAATGTTAGCTATTTCCTAAGCAATAATCTTAAAAGGGAAAGAGAATGAAGCTAGCAGGGAAGATCTCAGGGGCCGCCGATTTGTTTCAACAATTGTGAAACACTCTGAGGCGACCCAGAAAGAAGAAGTAAGTCATCTTGGAGAGAAGATGGCCAGAAGCTTAACGTGCACAACGACTCAAAGAGCTGTGAGTTCAATACCTGGTTAAGGCGGTGGAGAATGTGAAGAGGGGAATTAACAGGAGATAACTGATAAGTGACATCCATTAAACATGGCACGTGGAACTAGAACAGTCTACCCCAGTGAGCGAAATAAAGGATTTCGTTCGACATTCCAACCACCTGAAAAAGGTCGGAGCGTTCAACGGCCGAAACGTTGTAATAAATATGGCGAAAAAGATGAGGACAATAGTCCGAATAATATAAATAGTGTAATTATAACTACTCATTCTAGAAATTCGGGTTTAATTTAACAGTTTCTTTTCTCGTCTTATGGACTCTCTCCCTACTTATTGCTTTCCTCTCAACCACGATAATCAAATTCACATCTGCCTTAGGGGCTTAATCGCCTTGCTTGGTGCGAAATGATTGATATTAATCCCTATCGTAGCCGATTCTGTGTTCAATTTCTTTACTTTTTGTACTATTTTTTTTATTTTATTCGGTCGAGCTTGCTCGGACATTAATGAGACTATGACGCCAACTATCACGCGCCTGCATTAAGGTCAAAAGTGAGTAGTGAGGAATTCTATGTCATCATATAGTTGGTCAATGTAGGCGGTTGCTGGTTGACTAGATCGTCTTGCGCCATGGCTAGGTATCCAGAGCAGTACATCACTCACGAGTTTTTGTTTCGCTCGCCAGCAGTGTCCTACTTTTCGCGTAAGATTGTAGAAGTATCATGGATGTATTTATAGAGTGGTTATTTTGTTGGATGTTGTCTCCAAGAGGTGTTAAGTGTAGCACTCAGCTTTCCGAGTGTAGGTTCCAGAAGGCTTACACTTTAGCGTTTTAGTTAATGCCCAACAGAGAAACCATATATTCGAATTTACTCAACCCCCACGAGGTCAGGTTGTGAGACAAGGTCGGTTTAATGTGAGGAGCCCGAGCGCGTACACCCGGGAAAAAGAACAAAAGTTCTTCGAGCCCCCACAACCGTCGGTTGCTCTGGCCTCGATGCGTGCACTGATCCTTCTCTCTCGTGCAATGAGAAGGCGCGGCCTCGGGTAACTGTTTCCCAGGACTGGGTACCTCACAGTATAATTTTCCTCTGTTGCGACTCAGCTTTGACGGAGTCGCCTCTGAGTGCACTCTACCCAAAGACAGAGACGCAACTGAGAGATGATAAGTATTTTTTTTTTATTAAGCATTCAACCCTAAGTAAGGCGGGAAGCCACTAGCACGCAAAGGTTTTCAGAGTAGGAGCGAGAACAAAGAGGAGTAATAGAGGAAAGGATGAAGAGACGGCTAAGGAATAGATCAAGGCATCTGGAGACGTCGATTGAAGTTATACTTGAATAGTTGGAGATTATAGTTATCAGGAAAACAAGAAATAGGGAGGGAGTTCCACAGGCGAGAAGTGCGAGACATGAAGCTATTGGAGCAGAGGAGACGGTTACCTTTAACAGGGTGAGAGCGAGATGCCAGCCTAGTTGAGCGCCTAAATTCAGGAAGTCTGGGAGGAAACTATTCAAAAGATTAATTTACAAGCTAAGTAGCACCATATATTACCACCGCCTCTATAGTGGCCCGAAAGAGTCTCCGTTTGTGGCTGTATGGTAGATCAGATTACACGTATTTTATTCAAGGCGACGCAGGCTTTAGGCTTGCGTATTTTCACACCTCTCTTCCTAGATACGTAAAAGATTCGGAAGATTTTATTGATTCACCTGAGATGGTTTGAATTTAGCTTTGCTGGATGAAGTCTAAGAATTCAGTTTTAGAAGCATTGACATAGAGTTCAACATAATTGAAAGTATTTTCTAGATGATGTCGGAGACTGTGTCATTTGTGATGCTGTTCTGCAGTGATTGGTAAGTCATCTAAATAGTCAATATCTTCCAAATGTTTTGCAGGATATTGACCAATAACCCAATACGCCGAGCTGTTTGAAGTGCTCAGAATTTATGAATTCTACGTTCTAATTGTTTTTTAAAATGGATTCAGATATCCATGCTAAAAAATGTCTCATTTCAATTCAACACCATAGTGTCTGTTTCGGAAACGTTTCTGTTAAATAATTCTTCGAACACTTAGTGGGATTATATTATATATATATATATATATATATATATATATATATATATATATATATATATATATATATGTATTTGTTCAATTTTATTTTGTTTAGTTTTATTAAATAACCTATCTATTTTACACACACTCACACACACGCGCGACCCATATATATGTGTGTATATATATATATATATATATATTTATTTACACAGATAAGAACAAGAGGATTCACACCGTTCCCAGGGTAGAAACGTAAGCATGTAAGTGAATGTAATGGATTCGACTGTAATTCGAAATCGGCTCACCGATTTCTCAATCCAATCTGCCCTGTGAGTAATATATATATATATATATATATATATATATATATATATATATATATATATATATATATATATATATATATCGTAGCCTGACGATGGCATTAGCATGAAACAGATTGTCGCCTCTAAGAGTTGACTTATATGTTCACTTTTATATATATATATATATATATATATATATATATATATATATGGATATGATATATATATATATATATATATATATATATATATATATATATATATATCCATTACTCCACCGTGGGCTTGGGATTGAGGAATCGGAGAGCTGAGTTCGAATTCCAGTCGAGTCCATTACATTCACTTACGTGCTAATACCCTTGGGATAGGTGAATCCTTTTCTCCCTCCAGCTATAGGTAAATAGCAGGACAGACTGGGTTCTATAGCCTTGGATGGCAACTGGCCTAGGAGAAGGAAAATTTAAAACCTACGGAGGGTCGTTTGGGGACCTTGTGGCACTTAGTGCACCAGGTGTCTGCAATCGGCCCTTCAAAAAGTGTGGATGGTCCTGCACGAAACCTTCACCACTATAATCAAATCTCATGTGCTGGTGTCGGGCTGTCGGTTTCCTCGGAACTGATCTGCTTAACCCTCATACGTCGAATTCGACGGGAGAATCGTGAGAATATTTATATATATATATATATATATATATATATATATACTATTATTATTATATTCTTATTATAGTTGATTATAATAAAAACATTTTTAATCGCTACACAAATTATTTCATGTTTCAGTGACCTAAATGTCTTTCTTGAGGGTTCAAGAAAGACATTTGGTTTACGAACACACAAAAAAGAGAATGTCTCATATCGAGAATATTTGACATCGAAAAACATAAGAAAAAAAATATTTATTTTTAATAATTTGTGGAAATCTCCACCCTTTCCCTGATGAAGGTCGCGAGACCGGAAACCCGTGTAGCAAAATTATGGAAAATAAAGAAAAATATTTTAAAAAAATCCACATTGCAACCAAAAACGTTTTGGTTTCTTTCTTTTTTTTTATATATATATATATATATATATATATATATATATATATATATATATATATATATATATATATATATATATATATATAGCGAGCATAAAGATCAGAACGATGTTAAAAAAAAAAAAGTCTAAATGTGAAATAACTTTTTATTTTTAAAGCTTCAAAGAACATTTTAGCAAGTTTTCCCCAGAGTCTTTGAAATATCCCCAATCGAGATTTTATCTTCATTAGATAACTTGACTATAAGTTTTCTAAGTTCCAATGACGTCACAGACAGTTTTCGCCATTTTTATAATGCCAGAGCCAGTAAAGAGTCGATGTAATTTAGTAAAACACCATATTTTATATTCTTACCCTAAAAAATTTCAATAATGCAAAATAATTATTAAATTTTATGGATTTATTTAAACGTTCTGATATTTTTGATTATCTATTTTTTCGAATTTTATAAAATTGTTATATAAATATTATATATATATATATATATATATATAATATTTGTAATGTATTGTTGGTATTTTGGAATTCAAATATAATTTATTTTCAAAAAATATATCCTGGTATTTTTCCTTCAAAAAATATTGCTGGAAATTTTCATAAAAATTGTTTTAAAATTTTTTCTTCAAAAAATATATTAGACTTTTTCATAAAATCGTTTTGCTTGTAATTTTTTTTCTTCAAAATATATATATATAATTTATATAAAATATATTGCTTATAAATATTTTTCTTCAAAAATATATTGGTGGTAACATTTTCCTTCAAAATGTATTACTGGTAACATTTTTCTTAAAATATATTACTGGTAACATTTTTCTCATTCAAAAATATATTGCTGGTAACATTTTCATAAAAATATATTGCTGGTAATATTTTTCCTTCAAAAATATATTGCTGGTAACATTTTCATAAAAATGTATTGCTGGTAAATTTTTTTCTTCAAAAATATATTGCTGGTAACATTTTCATAAAAATGTATTGCTGGTAATATTTTTCCTTCAAAAATATATTGCTGGTAACATTTTCATAAAAATGTATTACTGGTAATGTTTATTTTCTTCAAAAATGTATTACTGGTAACAATGTACTGCTGGTAATAATTTCTCATTCAAAAATATATTGCTGGTAACATTTTCATAAAAATATATCGCTGGTAATATTTTTTCCTTCAAAAAATATTGCCGGTAATAATTTTTTCATCAAAAAATGTATTAAAACCTATTTTTAATATTTGTTTTAAGTCCAGTTCAAAATATATTGCCCATATTTTGTAACATTTTCATAAAATGTATTGAACCTGGGAAGAGGCAATCAAGATTTTTCCTTCAAAAATATATTGCTGGTAGTTTATTTTACCATAAAAATGTAAGACTAAGAAAAAAGATATTTGTTTAATATTTGAAAATATATTGCTGGTAAATGATTTTGATAAAATTTGTATTGCTGGTATGGTAATTTTTAAAAGGAAAAATATATAACTGGTTTAACATTTTCATAGGTAAATTGATGTTAAAAAATGTATTTAAAACTGGAAATATTTATTTTATAT